CTTTTTTTAGGCTGAAACGATGCAGGGCCTGTGGGCCCCGGATGTCAGGCTTTTGGGCTGAACCGTCATGGGGCCTGTAGGCCCGGAAATAGCCCTCAGTTTCAGGCTGAAAAGGCTCAGGCCTTTTTTTGGCTGAAACGATGCAGGGCCTGTGGGCCCCGGATGTCAGGCTTTTGGGCTGAACCGTCATGGGGTCTGCAGGCACGGAAATAACCCTCAGTTTCAGGCTGAAAAGGCTCAGGCCTTTTTTGGCTGAAACGATGCAAGGCCTGGAAAATGGCCCTCCTGTGCAGGCGCAACATTTAACACCCCCCCCTCCTTATGAAGTCAAGCCGGGTCGAGGGCGCAGCCGACGATCTGGAGGTGGAACCTGGACGCGGTTGCGGCGTGGAGCCGAAGATACCGGCTTGCCTTGCATCTTTCGTTCATACCGTACGAGAACATCTGGAGTTGTCGCTTGGAGTTCCGCATGGGTCAACCAGCGGTCGGCTCGGTGGGTGCAATACGCAAAGTGTACCAGATACTCGGTCGGCCTGTTGCCGTAGCGTCGCTGGGAAATGATGTCACCGACCTCCTGAAAGCCGTCCATAGAGGGTGGGTCTTGCGATCGTCGCCCAGGAAAGTCATCCTGGTCTGCTGGTGTGTACAGCGCCAACTTGGAGCAATGGAAAACCGGGTAGACGGGCAAGTGGGCGGGCACCTGAACTGTGAAGGAAGGTCCCTCAGGTGCATCCCCAGGAGGTGCTACAATCGGCCATGGCCCCATCCATTTCGGGAGGAGCTTGCGAGAGATATCCTGCTCAAGGCTGAATTCCGCGGCGGAAACCCACACGAGGTTGTCGACGCGGAATGGACAAGGAAGACGTTGGCGATTGGCCTGCTGGCTCATGCGTTGCTGCGTCTTTGCCATCTGATTGCGTGCCTTGACAAGAAGCTCTTGCATCCGACGCAAGAAAAGGAGATGGTCGTCGCTCTCGGTCGTGCGTGGAACGATGGTGTCCAACGGAGAAGTGACCGGAGAGCCATGCTCAAACTTGAAAGGCGACAACCCAATAGCCGGGTGGATGGACGAATTGTAGGCCAATTCGACATCCGGCAGCCGCTCAACCCAATCCTTCCGATCGGGACGGATGAGAGTGCGAAGGAGAACCTGTGCCGTCTGGTGCGCCCTCTCCGTCTAGCCATCCGTCTGAGGGTGGCGAGCTGAACTAGGCTTGAGAGATGAGCCCCATCGTTTGGTGAGCGCCAACCAAAAATCAGACATGAACCGAGTGTCGCGGTCGCAGACGATTTCCTTGGGGTAACCCTTGGTTCAAATCCAACCGGCGTAGAGAACCTCGACCAACTTTGGTGCCTTGGCATGATAGCGACAAGGCAAAAACATGGCAACCTTGGTAAGTCGATCGACTACCGTGAGAATCCCATCCACACCGGTCTTGTGCTTGGGGAATGGCCCAGTGATATCCATGGCAATCGCCTCCCGTCGGCGCAAGGGAACCGGTAGTGGTCGCAACTCGGCATACGGACAATGATTGCGGGATTTGCAACGTCGGCAAATCTCGCATGACTCGCAATAGCGTGTGCCGTCGTCGAGAAGACCGGGCAACCAAAATCGCTCGCGAAGTCGGCCAATCGTTCGATTGACGCCAAAATGTCCGGTGGTGGGAGCAGCGTGGAACTCGCCAAGAAGCCGTGTACGCAAGTGAGGGTCACTCGGTACGCAAAGAAGATCCTTCCCCCGCGAGTGGACAAGCAAATATCCCTCCTGGATCCGATAGTGAGAAGGTGTCGGATTGGGCGAGGAACAATTTGCGTACTTGTCGCGAAACTCGGGGTCGGCCTGGTAGCCGCGGATAAAATTGTCCCGCAAGTCGTTATCAATCTCGAAAGTCGAGTAGACGGCGGTGCAATGGTCCGGACGTCGTGAAAGAGCATCCGCAAAATGGTTTGACTTGCCCAGAATGTGATCGGGGAATCTCTGTCTGCCCTCCTTCCCCCAATCTCCTTCCTCAGCCTGATCACCACATGACCACCTCCTTCCATTCCTCCCTCCGTTGTACTCCCTACCTGCCCCTTCCTCCCTCAACTGGCGGCCCTCCTTTCGTAACGCCCGACCCAGTGGACGTAAACGCTCCATTTGTTATCAAGATCGCTCCATTTCTTTTAAAGATCTCAACACCGTTGCACACGCTCAAGAAGGAGAGAGAAAAACGCATTTCGCCTAACACATTTCCTCCTCTCGCTCTTCCTTCCTCGCACCTTCTTTGCCCTTGTCTTTCTTCCACCACCACGTCTTCTGCCTCCTCAAGATCTTCCTCCTCAACATTCTCCCTCGGTCCTTTATCTTTGGAGTGCCCTGCACCAGGTATTTCAGGATATCGATATTTCTTTCCATACTTCACTCTTCCTCCCCAAGCCCTACCACACCACACTGAGTCACCCCTCTCTTCCTCCCCAAGCCATTCATCCAGACCTCTCGCTGTGTGCGTGTGCGCAACCGCACGCGCGACACGCTCGCACTTATTCACATCGGAAAAAAAAAGTGGCACTAAGCCTTAACGCAAATTCAGAAAGATAAGAAAAACGGATAAGGTAGCACGAAAGGAGGGAGGACAGAGGGCCGAGGAAGTTAAAGCCACCGGAGGAAGGAGCGCAAAGGCGACGGAGGGAAGAAGGAAGGAGAAAGGGAAGAAGAAGGGAGGGCCGATGATGAGCACCAAAAGCACGTCTGGATGGATTCACAATGAGCACCCATCCACGGTCACCACGTCTGGATGAGCACGCATCCACGGTGACCACGTCTGGAAAATCACGGATCAATGATGAGCACGTCTGGATGGATTCAAGATGAGCACCGAGCATGAAAAGCACGCATCCACAGTGATCACCGGTGGATGGATTCACGATGAGCACGCATCCACGGCGATCACCGAGCATGAAAAGCACGGATCGATGACGAGTACGAAAAGCACGTATCAACGATGAGCACGAAAAACACGTATCAACGATGAGCACGAAAAGCACGGATCAATGATGAGCACGAAAAACACGTATCAACGATGAGCACGAAAAGCACGGATCAATGATGAGCATGAAAAGCACGGATCGCCGATGAGCATGGAAAGCACGTACCCACGGTGGCACGAAAAGCACGGATCCACGATGAGCAACAAAAGCACTTATCCACGATGGCAAGAAAAGCACGGATCGACGATGAGCATGAAAAGCACGTATCCATGATGAGCACCGACACGACCACCAAAAGCACGGATCGAAGATGAGCACGTTATCATGCACCGAAGTTCCCGCACGAATCCACGATGATGAGCACGAAAAGCACGGATCCACGGTCAGCATGTGACGAAAACCACAGATCCACGATGAGCACGTGGTCGTGCTCCAAAGAAAAGCACGGATCCTCGAGCACGATGGAGAGAACACAATGAGCACCAATGGAGAGAACACGATGAGCACCAATGGACAGAGCACGGATCCATGGATTAATGATGAGCACGAATCAAGGATGAGCACGAATCGAGGCTGAGCACGAATCGAGGATGAGCACGAATCCAAGCACGGCACCCAAGTCCCCGTCGAGCAGCAAAGGAGAGCTCAGTGTGTGTGTGTGTGTGTGTGTGTGAGAGAGAGAGAGCAACGAGCACCAAGGAGAGCACCAAAGGAGCGAACACGATGAGCAGCAATGAAGAGGAAGCACGGATCCGAGCACGGATGAGCACCGGCCAGCAAATCGAACCACGATGAGCACCAAATTGAACCAAAGCACGATGCAGCAAAAACTGCCGTCTACCAAGAAGGAAATACCGCCAGCACTTGAGTGCGTGTACGAAGGCCAATAATTCCTTCTTCCTCGCGTCATCAATAGAGTGCACGGCGGGCATCTTCTTGCTGAAATACTCGACCGGGTGCCAATCCACGCCATCGTGTTGCTCGAGGACAGCGCCAATACCATAGCCGGACACATCAGTAGTGAGGTGTGTGGGCAATAGCGGGTCGTAGATTCGCAAGACCTCCGCTGACAAAAGTGCAGCTTTGAGAGCCAAGAAAGATTCCCGCGCATCCTCGTCGAAGTCAAACGGCCGATCCTCGCATTGAAGCTTGGTCAAGTGGGCCGCGATCTTCGAATAGCCCTTGATGAAGCGCTGATAGTAGCCGGCAAGACCAAGAAACGAACGGACATCCGTGACGTTACACGGCTCCGACCACTCCTGGATGGCTTGAATTTTCTCCAATAGCGGGCTGATGCCCTCTGGTGTGACAAAATGGCCCAAGTACTCAAGCTCTTGCCGGACAAACTCGCACTTGTCGCGGTTGGCTTGGTACTTGGCACGGCGGAGCGTCTCCAACACACGTCGAAGATGCTCAAGATGGTCCTCCAGAGTCCGGCTGTAGACGAGAATGTCGTCTAGGTAGACCAGCACGAACCGATCCAACATAGCATGGAACTCGTGGGTCATGGCCGCCTGGAAGGTTGCCGGGGCATTGGTGAGGCCAAAAGGCATGACCACCCACTCAAAATGTCCATACCGCGTCTTGAATGCGGTCTTGTAGCAATCATTCGGGCGTATCGAAATCTGATGATACCCCGACTTCAAGTCCAACTTGGAAAAGAACTTGGCACCGCCCAGTCGCTCAAGAAGATCGTCGATACAAGGAAGAGGCCCCGCATTTTTCACAGTTTGCGCGTTGAGCTTGCGGTAGTCGATGCACAGACGTAAATCCTTGTTCTTCTTCCTTACGAAGAGAACTGGTGCTCCATATGGGGAGCTGCTAGGGCGGATCCAGCCCTTGGCCAACAAGTCGTCGAGTTGTGCGCGAAGGACCTCCAGTTCCTCCTCGCTCATCCGATAGATGCAACCTTTCAGCGGCACGGCACCGGCCTCAAGAATGATCTCGTGAGAGATCGGCCGATCCGACATTACAACGGTAGGTGACTCGAAGATGTTGGCGAACTCATCAAGCAGCCGTACCACGCGGGGGTTCGAAGACAAGTCCGATGGTGAAGAGTCGGCTACCGCGCTAGTCCGCAAGAAACATAGGCCTATCTCTTCGGGTTGCTCATATGCACATGTAGTTCGGAACGATTTGGCCGTCACGACTTGGCACCGGATCGAAGGGTGCGGAAGAGGAATAGTACACGGCACCTCGGCGTCGAAGGCGTCGCGAACGGTGAGAGTCCGTTGGTGAAAGTTGACCGTGTGATCCGCACTTGCAAGCCAAGGCATTCCCAGAATGATATCGAAGTCCGTGTCCAAGATGTCGAACGTGACCGGTTCGCATGCGTGAGGTGCGAAAGTACACCGGTACGGCCTCGATGTAACGGTCGAGAAGTTGCTGCGTCTTTCCATCCGCCAACTTGATCGTCGGGTTTGCCTTCCTCCGAACCTGCGCGCCGAGGCCAGCCCTTTGCATAAAAGCTTGGGTCATGAAGTTGCGAGTCGCGCCGCTATCCAGCAAAGCGCTGCAGGACGCCTGCCCAACTTGGATGCGGACATACATCAGCGGTGCATTATTGTCGTCGTACCGCTGCGTGCGAAACTCGCGGGCCACCTTGGTAACATATGCAAAGATGTCCCCCACCGCGACCTCGTCATCCGTCGGCGAAGTTGGTGGTGCATAGAAGGACAAGTACTTGTGAAGATGGGCGCAGAGTGCTGCGCATTGCTGTCCCGGTAAGCGGCCCGTGGTCGGCAGAGGAAGCCATGCGAAATCCCCAGACTTGAGCGGGTCCAATCCCTCTATGTTGAACCCGCGCGCCGAATCCCATGAAGAACCACTTGAAGACGAAGAAGAACCGTTGCCGGACGGAGAAGATGCCGCACACACGTCTTGTCCTTAAGAAAGATCCCAGCGTCGGAACGAGTCGGGCAGCATAATCCTCAAAAGAATAGAGAAGAGGATTGTCGACTTTCGCATGCGCCCCGGAATGAAGGTCGGTTACTCGCGAAGAAACCGGTTCCGAAGGCGTCGAGAGTGTGGTCGACTCACTCTCGGCGGCGCTCAGTTTCCCTGCTTGCCCTTCTCCTTGGTAGGGCAGCCCGCTGTCTCATGGCAGTCGCTGTTGCACCACAGGCAGTAACGGTACTACGTGCGTTGCTTGTAAGCTTGCTCCGAAAGACCGTAGGGGGTCCAGGGCCCCTGAGCTGCTGCGCCGGGCCCGGGGTTTGATGTGGTGTTTGTCTTCGATTTGCCGCGTCCTCGGCCTCGGCCGGGGCGGCCACCATCCCGGGCAGGTAGCAGTCTGTCTCCTTCATTGGCAGACTCCGCCTCGCTAAATTGGCTGCTTGGCGATGCCGCCGCAACCACGGCCACCTTGGGCCGATGCTGGTCCTTGCTCGGGCCTGCCGCAGCACGAGTGAGGTTCTTCGCCTCCTTGTTCGTGATGATAATCTGTGCGGCCTTGTCGAACAGTTGCGCCGTCGTTGTAAGTGTGTCCTCGACATGCGTCAAGGCGTTGCTCAACGTCGGGCACGACCTCGAAATGAAGTAGTGCTTGATGGCTTTGAAGCCCATCGGGAGACCTGGGACGGATGTCAAGCGTTGGTACTCGGCAATCCAGTCGACGCTTGGCAGCGAGCCTTGCTCGAGGGTCATGAGCTTGTCCATGGCCTTGATCTCCGGCGGCTCCACTTGGAACCGCTTGTGCCACGCCGCCGAAGTCAAGAGTGTTCGCAGCCGCGTACAGCAGCTGGAGCAACGACCAGCCGCCGCCCCTGTGGCAAGCTCCTCCAACACATCAGACCGCCTGGACGCATTGGAGACTGACGTCAGCACACTCAAGGACGACACACGACTACAACAAACCGCTACTCAACAATTGGAGCAGCGGGTCTGTGCTGCCGCCGCCAGCCCGAGTTCGGGACAGCGCGAGTCAACTCCCAAGTTTGACGGTCAGGAGATCTTCTGGGATTCAACAAAGACGGATCCAGTTCAGTGGTTCCGCAAGTTTGAACTCACGTTGCAGCTGCACCTCGTCAGTGAATGCAAGCACCACGCGTACTTATACTCCCGGTCGGGAGACGCATGCCAGGCATGGCTGGACAATCTCTTGTCCCAGTACGGGGTGGTCGTTGCCGAGTTACACACGAAGATCAGCTGGGGGCTGTGAATGTCCTCCTGCTGCACGATGCATGTCGCCAGGAGGTCCGTGAGATGGGAGAGGAGGAGGGCAATCTTGGTCTCGCTCTCCTCCATCTTCCCTGTCTCCGCCTCAGTTCGCCATTCCGCTGCCAATGTGAGTAATGCTTGCTCCCCGCTGAAAATCTTCTCACGCCGCTTCAATCGTTCTTCATCTGCAGCCTTCGCTGCTGCCTCGGCCTGCAAACGCTGCTGTTCAAGAGCAAGCAGTCGTGCCTGCTCGGCATCCTCTGCCTTCTTCTTCTCTGCAACTGCTACTGCATCCGCCCGCTGCTTGGCTTCTATGATCAAAGCCAGCATGCGGTCCTGATATGCCTCCACCGTTTCCCCCGGTTTCTGGTCCATGACGGCTGTCTGCGAGTGCGTCAGCATAAACACGCCCGGGTGGCTGACGTGGCACTCCCTGTTGACGTGGCCTGCTGATGTGGTCCGCTGATGTGGTCTGCTGACGTGGTCTGCTGACGTGGCCCGCTGACGTGGCAACTTACCAATGCCACCACAGGGAATACCCGAAATGGATGAAGAAGATGAGATCAGAGATGGCAAACAACGTAGATAGGGAGGGTGGGTGGGGTAGATCGCCCAGATAAGGAGCCGCTAATCAAAACAGAAAAGGTTGAACTTCGCAAAAAAATTCTGAGGGGACGAAGAGGAAAATAAATAAATAAATAAATAAAATTGTTTGCAAGTTCAGCAAGCTCCCCAATCCCGAAGTACGAAATACAACTGAAAAACAAAATTTGACTTCCAAACTGCAAATGATTACAAAAAAAATTCGGATTTGCTTTAATGAGAGTATGCGCAGCTTGGAAAGTAGTACTGCCAGAGAGATTTCCCATACCGTTTTGAAAAAAAATGAACTTAAAAAAAGTATTCCGAATTTTTTTAAAGTACGGGAAACTGCAAAATCGAGATTTTCAAAAAGAGATATTCTGGATTTCCAACAGCGAAATTTCGACAAGACAACAGAAATTTCAGGAGTTGTGCTACTGCGATTTTTCCACAATCAGAAATAACGGAAAAACGAACTCCACAAAAAAAGAAAAGTTTCAATTTTTGGCAGTTGGGTCAAAATCATGATTTGGGGGATTAACTAGTGTGCTCAACCAACCAATAAGTCAGTCGAGTCTTCTTCACCAGCTAACTCCCCGTACACGTGTCAGATCAGGTAATCCTGATTCACGTGCGGTGCTCCGGTACCAACTGTTACATGCCCAGTCGGGCACTGAGAGTTCAGCCAAGGATCCGCATTGTGATGAAAAGGACTGAATGGACAGTGGACTGCTAACGTAATATCAACAGACAGTGTACATCCCGATACATGAACAATGGCATTTAATAGCACAGCGGAAGACTTGGAGATAAGTCCTGACCTGACCTGGACTGTTACGACATCCCATCATACATCACACATGTGAGAGGGAGGGAAGGGACCACATACATAGACGAAGGTCCCTCCTGCAATCACGCACATGGGGAGATACCACGGATGAGAGATGGAGGGGGGAAGGAAGGACGAAGATGGAGGCAAGGGAGAAGACTAAGATCGCAATAGCGAAGTTCAAAATAGTCCCTTGCCGAAGTCCAACCAAATATCTGCCCAAAAATGTCGAACCAGATCCTGGGCCAATGCCCGTGACAACCCCTACCTGTAGCCCTGCAAGTAAACCACTMTCACTCTCGTAGGCTGCCGAAGCAGTGAAGTCAGATAGTGAGAGGGTAGGAGAGAGATGGTGGACTGAGAGGAGGAAGAGGAAGAACTCTCTCTCTCTCTTCTGGATGCCAGGTACTAACCGGTGATGGTGGCGCTGTGCTGCAGGTACCTCGTTGGCGAGCTGGAGCTATGGCGCCTCAGGTAAGTCACTCAGTGAGTGGCGCTCTGCTGCAGGTACCTCGAAGACGAAGCTGGAGCTATGGCGCCACAAGTAAGCATCCCTGGCCTCCGCCAGCCTCCTCTCTCCACTACTTTGGTCTACGGCTACTAGCACCCAGCGCTGAAGACTACTGCTAATGCTACTCTACTGCTGCAGCCGAATCCTGAAGACTACTGCCTCCTGTAGAAGTGCACATTGAGTGCCTGGGCAGTCTCCTCTCGTCTGTCCCAACCTGTAGGGCGGGCCAGTCTTATATAGTGCTGGCCCGTCCAGGAGGCTGCTCTTGCCAATGC